AACGAGGTTGCTGACCCTATCTCAACCCTCCTTTTTTAGAAGGACTCGGGACCATCACTAACTCTAAATGAGCTACAAGTGGAGTTTTTGCGAAATAATGAGCCACAATATAATCGGATTGTGGTATAATGCGGTGTAAATTATATAGGTTTGTAAGCTATACATAAGGTAAGATTCATAGATGTTATTTGAAACGATAGTTGTGTAGAAAAATAGAGGGAGGCCAAAGATTTTGAATAAGCGATCTGAAGTTGATGTTCTAGGAAACACGTCCTCATGTTATCGAGCAGACCAAAACGGACTAGTTGGGGCGGAAGTATAAAGAATCGTGACTCTCAGTTGATATGTCCCTGTTTGCCAGAAGCGATAGCTGAGCTCCCGATAAGGTTCAGAAACTGATCACTGGCTAGAATAGAGTAGCAAGACTGTTGGATTTAGTATGTCAAAAAATATCAATTTTGAAACACTTAAAAATTGTGTCTTCCGGAAAAAGTAGGTGGTTACTGGTCATGGGAATCCCTTGGTTCAATGCCACGCATCGAGATCAGGCCGGACATTGATTGTTTTATTTTCTATTCAGTAACGGATGAATTCGAAAAGCCAGTAACAGTGATGACTTATTTTCAAGTAGCAGTACGCCACGTGAAAACTTCATCAGGTTACTGGAATGTTCATGTCGCCACAAATAAATTGATACGGATTACTGTCGTTAAGCAGACAAATGTTTTCGTATAAACAACTATCTGGGAATGTATTGTTACTACTCACGTTTCCAAAAACAAATAGGTAGTCATTCGGAAATGTTCAGTGAATATCACTGTGATAATCATTCCGTCTAATGTTTTGTGTTTGGTGCAATATGGAATATAGAGCAGTAAATAGCCTTAAAAACGTCTTTTATTATCAGCAAACATCACAACAAATATAGTGCGAGTAAGTGATGAAGTCCGTAAACAAAAATAAAATCCAAATATTATGGCAAAGTAGGTCATGTATTTTAGAAATCATGCCAGCATAACATAGCTGAAGATCATAAGAGGACTAAAGTATTATTGTACGCATTGACGAGAGATATACTTAGGGCTTCCAGCCTTGTATCAGTCATTGTTCTCATCATAAAGGTATTGCATTTTGTCCACGCACTACTGCCCCAGTTAGATGCCCTTTCGAAGGGTAAAAAAATTGTAAATAGAGTAACACATTTCTGACATAAGGATATTAAAGGAGGTCATTACAAGTCATCCTTGTCTCTCGCACATGGTAGTGACCTTGCAGAAATCGCTGTTCCGCGGTTCTAATTTACGCGAGAGGTCAAGTGCTTTGTAGGGACTTATAACCATGGTAAAGACTTCATGCAGCTTCGGAGATTGTTCAATCCCTAAATGAACGGACAAGAGAAAATGACCTGCTGAAATACCAAACCATGTTTTCTGTTTTTGATTAAGATCATGAACCGATTGATGTTAGACTACCATTAAAAACCTGGAAGCACTGGACGGCCATTTCGTTCTATTATGGGACTCCTCAACAGTGCGCGTCTACGATCACGCTCGAGGGATTCGAACCCAGGACCTTCACTCTCGTACGCGAACACTTAATCTACTGGACCACTTAGCCGGCATACACATGTGTTAAGGCCTAACTTCAACCAATCAATGAAATTGCACAACCGTCTTCCATTGTATTTAGGTGGATATCTTTCTCCACCCGACACGGACTAGCTTCACTGGTCAGGGCTTCTCACTAGAACTACAAGAATTCCCTGACGAAGCTAGTCACTAGTGATCACATGGTTATTATCAGTATAGGGGTTGTGGTGATTATTAAGTTTTTGATTAAGACTCTCAACCAATTGATGTGACCCAAGTTGTCTTGCGATAGAAACTCTGGACACCTACGGCAACTAGTTGTAAGATGCGGAAAATTACACACTGTGCTTCACTAGGTTCATGAATAGTCAGACACACAGACCCTTCAATCGTTTTAATGCTTTTTTAAAACGCACGTAAGGCCATAATTTGAAAGTGACAACACCGGTCAACCCCCTAAACTGGAAACAGATAAAAAATTTTGTAGTAAAGTGTGGCGATTTACAACATAAAAGCCTTTCAAACAGCGGAACAAACCATAAGATAATCGGTTCTTCAGTCTGAAGTTGTTTTTCGTTAGCAACAGAAGAATGAGCAGGGATTCCGTAGGCTAGATGACACACTAGCCAACTTACATTATGCCAAGTGTTGTGTTGTATCTTGTTATTGGGCTTCAGTACGGCCTTCCATGTTGCGGATATAGGAAAGGAAACAATCGATCTGATCTAATACGATCGGTTCTCTTCAGTATTGTCAACAGTAAATTAGGTTTGATACATTAAACTTTGACGGATAAGACAGAAGGAAGACGGAATCGCAGTTAACTTGATGTTCGTGGTAAAACAAGCGAATCAAACAAAATCAACACAAAATTTGTCACCATAGTAGCAGATTATGACTTTCAAGCATACAACAATTTAGCAAACCAAAAATGCATGACAACCAGTCAGAGGGCAAAGGTCATGAGGAAGATAGAATCGGCAGAAAGCATGCTAACGGTCGTCATTTCCGAAGGAATTTAGGCCTATCTAATAAAGTTTGACTGTTCTTGAGACCACCTTAACAGGTTGCTACGACTGTAGGGCCAGCAAGCCCTAGCCAAATCAACTGGACGTCCTCGTCAAGATCAAGGACAACTAACGCATATCAATTAATTGCATGCCGTGGACTGGTTCATGCAGCACTGATCACACTCTGTTCCTTGTATCTACTTATACCAATATATTTTTGTAATAACGTCGTTTGTGTAGCACAGTTATCAAAGCAGCCATCACGTCTAGATACTATGGAGTATTAATCCACGCTAGGTACTGACCGCGAGGTGTGACATCGACGTTAGCTAGTTGGTCACACCATTCCCGTCCAACTCACGTGGGGCCCCAGTCATTCGACACAGGTAATTTACGCTGATGACCTGCACGGCAGTCGACGAGACAACAACCAAAATATTGCACATCAACAGTCAAAAACTTACTTTTGGGCTGAGTCATATATCTAGAAGATTTAGTACACAATGTAACCTCTGTCTACACAATAAACTGATTTAATAGGTGGTTTAAGTTCTGGGTCTGTACACGGACATACTACGTACTTCTGCGAAGCATACAAAGCGTTTTTCAGTGGATCGTATCAAATTATATCAAAACACAAACCCAGTGTTCAATTTGAATGGTTTTGATTTAAGAAAGAGAATAAATTATATTAAGAGTACGAAATACCTCAAACGGTGTGGCCTGTGCTACAGAATCAAGGGTTTCTCTAACACGAAATAACGTGCTAACCAACGAAAGGAATAATTATTAAACAATAGTTCAACACATGAAAATCAATAAAATTATTCCCAATAAGATGCGATCAGATATCTATCTGCAAAGGTTCTAGCAACCTCCCCTAGCAGACGGTCAGAGGTTGGCAGTCATACTCTGGACCGCACTGTGACACTCAGTTTAGTCAAACACGACCTTGTTGTTAATGGTCCGACAACATGTGATAGTAAATCAATTAAAAGAACTTAAATCTTTACTCAAGGTCCAATAACAAAAGCCTTAGCAAGAAAGACTGAAGATCATAGTATGTGGTTAAAAAGGAGCCGAATCGAAGGTTAAAATATAAGACAGGGAGAACAAAATAATAAATGACATTACTGTCCAATGAAATGCTGTGGAGGTATTTTCGGTATTTTCTTTCCATTACACACTTGATCTCACAGTCATATCACAAAAGACTTGACCGACCACATTCGATGTTACAAATATTAAGGGCCATTTTGTAACTACAAGATGAGAAACCAGCTCATCATAGAGATCTTTGTGCAACATCACGTTGCATGGTGTAACGCATCAACACATTTACGTTTCTACTATCACTCTCATAAATACAAGTCACCACTCGCGGTATTAGCAGTTCTCTATTATTATACAAAGATACTAGTTAGACGACGACCTCTGTTACTTCATGATCAGTTGAATCTTAGGCCCCATACTTCGTCTTCCCTATGTCAATGAATTACCGTCATTTCTTAAGTCATCGACATTATTGTTTGCGGATGGTGTCAAAATCTGGAGAACAGTAAGAAGTGAGGTTGATCATTTTGATCTCCAAGTTGACATAGATGAATCAACTAGGTGGGCTCAATATTGGGGCTTGGAAATTAATTCTAGGAAGAGCGTGCTCATGCTCTTTTACGCAGAAATAGTTACCAGTAAGCTATTAATGACACATCTCTTCCATGCATTCAGGAACATCAAAACTTTGGAGTAATGATAAGTCACGACTTGAAAACAACTACGCATTGCAACGCAGCAAGTGCCAAAGGTTTTCGCGGGTTATAGTCACTTCACCAAACATTCAAATGCTTCAAATATTTCGAATTTTGTATCACATCTATGTACGACCAGACTTAGCGTACCTTATCTAAGCGGCTGGCCCATGTCTGATTAAGGGTACTAACTCACTTGAGCGTGTTCAGTATGTGGAAACAAAATCAGTAGGGATTCCTTCTAAACCCCTTTACGACGAGCGCTTAGAACGCCTAAACCTTTTCCCCTTGTCATATCGTAGGACGCGAGGTGACCTTATATTGGCATTTCGTATTTTTAATTACGATTTGGATGTTAAAATGTTTTAATTCTTCTTGTCTCCCCTAGCGCTAATGATCTCCGAGGTCATAGCACGAAGGTTCACAAACTGCGATCTAACTAAGTTAAAGTGAGGTTTCATTTTTCTCACAGAATGGTGGGTGACTGGAACGCCTTACCCAGATGAGTGATATTAGCCACATCAGTGAACATATTTAAGGAGAAGCTGAATATTCACTGGAAGGCAAACTGTCAGGATTAACACACATCTACTGACCTACTTTCCTTATTATTGAAAACAGACTGAATCAAGCAACCTCAGGCGCGCGGTTTCGAAAGGTGAGTGGTAATGTTTTGTTCGTCCCTACTTTTTATATTCTGGCTAGTGACGAGCCCTGAAGTTTAGTATTACTTTGAGTGTTGCGTTCGATTTTCAGTTTTTTGCTACACTGACCATTTACTAGAATTTGCCATCTGTCTGTCGTCTATTTTGCAGTTGTAGCTTGTGTTCGTTCACAGACGCACATGCATGAGTATCCCACTCTTAATAAATGTTAATATTGAACCGCCCTTTTAAGGATAATATCCGAAAGTTGGTTAAAATAGGTTGTATTTTGAATCTGATCTCATAAAACCTGTCCGAGCTCCATCCGATTACTCTGGATTTACTGAGTTGATTTTATAATAGCCACAATGTAGGCCACTGAAAATACCACTTTAAGTCAAAATTTATCAAGTGAAACTTTTGACAGCTGAGGTCTGTACCTTAAGTCCTTTATATTGAGGGTAACAACACAGCAAAAACCTGAGTGCACAACTGAATGGTGAGTGGTCAAGCATTTCCATTAGTACTTTGATGACAACTTAGTCTGGTAAGAATTGCTCTTTTTCCCGGGAACATAAGATCAATACTGACATTTTTTTGACTGCGTCAGTGAATAAAGGAAGACAACGACGAGGAAATAGTAAATTAAATAAGGAAAGATCAAGCTACTGTAAATTAAACGTGGTTTATGATTTATAAAAGCACGACGTTAAGCGTTTTAATACCACTGTAGTTGGTCTAGGCTCATATCAAATGAAGTCCCTTAATAAAAGTTCCTATCTACCTTTAATATTCATCACACATTTAATTATTGTGTTTGTCTTCACTTCCAAGTCTGTAAAACTGCGAATACATACTTTTCCACTATCAGTCAGCTACAGCGTAGGACCAGCCACATATATGCATCGGTCCAAGTTGCCATACCTCGTTAACACAACAAGATAGACACCGGATTTGTAAAAGTAGTTAATTCAGAGGTGGTAATATATAAAAGAAAGATTGCAATAAGGATATAGTACAGGAGGAAAGAATTAGTTCGTAGAAAGAGAGATATGAAGTGATTTTAATCTCTTAGTTTAAGGGAAAACAGGGAGTGTATACACCAACGCCATTGTGATCGATTCTGAGCCATGTCGCCAACAGTCTCCAACCATTGGTTACGAAAATCACGCGGACCCCAACCAAGTAGTCTGCATCTACCAACATGGCTCAGACTAGAAGTTAGTGACTTCAAGCACTGATGCCACGTTTTGGTTTGGCCGCCCCTAACTTTCTTCCAACCATCCCCAACACCTGTCAACATTGCGCGTCGTGGTAATCGGTGTTCGGGCGTGCGTAACATGTGGCCCAACCACCTCAGTCGATGAAGATTCACAACCTCATCAACTGATTTACCATCATTCCCTAATACCCTGCATCTAACTCCACTATTACTTACCCGGTGATCCCAGCAGACGCCAGAAATATTTCTAAGGCATCTGTGGTCAAATACTAGTAGCTTACGAGTGTCTTCTACTCTTAAGGGCCATGTTACGCTGCCGTAAAGTAAAACAGAACGAACTGCCGCGCAGTATACTCGTCGTTTTTCTGATAAACGGATATCTCGACCAGGTCTGAAGCCAGCTTGGTTCTCTCGTGTTTGCACTTCACGAGTCTTAGTTAGGCGTCTGATAATTATCGAGGCTAGTATTTTAGATACTATATTAGTTAAACTAATCCCTCTATGGTCGTCACAGGATGATTTTAACCCTCTCTTATATATTGTGACGATAAGTGATTGTGACCAGTCAGATGGGATAAAGTCTAACTCCCATATCTTAACTAGAATATTAGTCAACCTAATCGCTAAAATTGGGCCACCATCCTTAAAGACCTCTGGAGCCAGTCCATTTGGACCAGCTGCCCTTCCTCGTTTCAGATTAACTATAGCCTTTTGAACTTCTGCTAGAGTTGAGGGACCTACTTCAATGTTCCATTCACACTTTCTGGGAATGGAGGGTAGTTGTAAAGTAGCTGAAGGTCAGCTGAACTGTTCTCTGAAATGTTCCGCCCATCGTTCTAAACGTCTGGACTGGGATCAGATGAGAGTATCGTCGTTTTCCGAAATAGTCTGACTTACACTTGACTTAATAATTCCAGTTTCTTTTATTATTCTGTTGTGCTGTCTTGTGTTCTCTATAGCCGCCGCCATTTCCATCTCTCGCTTTCGTTGCCCACAACTGCTCACGGTCGTTCCTTAGACTTTTTCTGAACCTAGATCTGATTTGTTGTCGCTCTTCATCGTGTTCAGAGCCTGATGGGATAAGTTTACAAGAATCCATCAGTGCAACAGACCTTGAGGAAATCCATTGGTTCTTTGTAACCCTGTGGTTTAAATCACTGATAGATGTCACTGCTGTTTCCACAGCTGTTTGTATAGCTTTCCAAGCAACATCTGGGTCAACCTCGTTTTCAGAACTATCTAATTGTGACCTCAGTTTCTCCTGGAACCTACTTTTGGTTTTCTCGCTACTCAATTCAGTTCTAATGGGTCTTTTCACTGTGGCTTTTTTGCGTCCAGTGAGGCGCAAGCAGATGCGTGCCCGTATTAGGGCATGGTCGGAGTCCAAGCAGGTACTCCAGAATGAGCGACAATCTTCTACCGACCCTCTCCAACGATGACTGATGGCAATATGGTCTATTTGAGTCCATCGTTGGTTTGGTGTAGGGGATCGCCACGTTAGACGATGTCTCTCCTTATGCTTAAAATTTGTGTTTGCTAAAAATAAGCGATTGTCTGAGTATAGTTGCAGCAGAAGATCACCATTATCTGTTCGTTGTGCCGGAATACTAAAATACTCACCTAAATGCCTTTCTGTTTGGTTTAAACTACCTATCTGGGCATTGAAGTCACCTGCTACGAGTACTATGTCTGAACGTTTAACTTTCTGGAGAAGTTCAGATAGCTTTCTGTAAAATTCATCTTTCACTTCATCTGAGCTGCAGTCGGTGGGAGCGTAGGCAGAAACGACTTTTCCACTATGCCAACCGATTTCTGATAAAAGTGACAACTTAGTAACAAAAGAACAAAAACATTTGTTAAAAAACTGGTAATACTACTTGAATATTTATATGTAACCTGAGTAGTAGTCGAAAATATATAAGTTGGGTAAAGATCAACTTCTCGAAAGCACGTTGCGTAGCACGATGGGATGGTGTCGCAGTAATATGTAATCAAGAGGGGAACTGATTCTTTAAGCATACGGAATAATCTTGGTAAATGCACATTAGTGATCAGATATGAAAAGCTACGCTTCAAGTCATTAGTAAGCATAAGTCGTCCAAAAAACACTAACCTCAAGGTTTATGCGATCACTTTTCTGGGGAGGGGGTGGAAATCTGTCTCCAGACTCTGTGATTCGCGTCATGGATTTTTTTAAAGATTTTATCAATAAGCTTATTAAACTCAAACCACTTGATAGTCAGAATCTGTTTATAATACTCCTTGAGAAGGAGGAAGTAGTAGTTCTAGTGGACTGAAATGTTTAGATTGGCAAAATGACAAGTCTGTCATTAGTTGGTAGCAAGTACTCACTGGTATGTGCTTTGGAAAATCCGACCAACACGTATTTATGACATCTTGCATTTTTTATAAATAAGTGAATATAATGTAAGTACTGATTTTACCCCCAAGCATTCTATGGGTTACTGAGTTTGAGTTACTTTTATATCTGAATCCCTGATTGTTGCAACCAAGTTATATAACTCTTGATACATTGCTAATTATTCTTTGTTTGCAGATGTTATTTATTTTCTGAAGACCTATAGTTTTACTTATCAAGTATCTTCGATAGTTACGTACGTAAACGTGCAAATCATAGATGGCTGAGGACAGCAGTGGGCTCGGTTACCGACTGGAGGAAATCCAGTCAAGTATTGCAGAGGGAAGGTTAATGCTTAACGTTCTTCGTTCCCTTCCAACCACTGAGGTATTTGGAAACTGAAATTATTTGTTCAGAATAATGATGCATTCATAGTTCGTTTCGAGGATCTAATCAGTAGATTAGAAAACTATCAACTTCACAACAGAAAGAACGAGGTTTGTTACATTTTTACGTGATTTCTGGTGATTTAGGTGAAAGATGTAAAGTTACAGTTGAGGACACTTAAGGAGCAACAAGACAGAATTCAGTCTCTCCTTGGTCAAACAGCGACGAGTATACAGGTACATATGACGATTTCGGATTTATTAACCAATTACCAAAATACATTAACCATGTACTTACATTTCAGTATTTGCTGTCATGCTTTTAAGTAGTGATTGCTGAATTGTATTTATATTGTCAGCTCTATCTAATTTTTTTGGTACATCGAATTTCGTAATCTTGTTGATTTTCCATATAAAAAGAAATCATCCGACCGAAGCTGCTACCTTGACGCGGTGGTCGGGCTCGTCTATCATGATGACCCAACCGAGCTATATTGGCTGGAACATATGTTCCTGTAGGTTCTACCATGCCAGGCAGGTCGATTGGAGAACGGTAAGACTAAAAGCAGCAACTCAAGGTCTGAGGGCGAAGTCGTACTGCTGACTGTAGAGGGGTGTGGCAACAGTAAGGTGTTTCCCTCGGACAACCAGCATCTGCAGCGATGCTGCCTTCCCATAAGGAGGGGCGGGGTTAGAAAAGGTCGACCCTAAAAATGTCACACCTCACCTTACCTCACGGATTTCCGTCTCCGGCGGTGAGGCCCTTTGGAGAACACATTAAAAACCTTCCACGAAAAGGCCGTGCGCGACCGGCCTCAAGTAGTTGTCCCTTGGGGTCTGCGGTCACGCTCCCAGGTCGTTGAGACCAACACTAATCCGACTTCTATTTCAGGTTCCTCAAGAAATACCCTTCCACGGTGTGGGCAGCCGGGAAGTGATATCAGCCCTCATACCCGTAACAGCGCACGAGACCAAGTTGGTCACATTCAAATCCCTCCTACACCTCCTAATACCTCTCTTATCTCCATGACTAACCCTCCTCACATCTCTTTATCACCTCGTACCGCTAGGGCAAACGATTCGAGTACGCGGAACGTTATTTTTGGTCTCCTGAAACCACGCTCTAAACTACACGTAGGAGCTTTTAACGTCCGAATACTGTGCCAAATAGGACAGCAGGCTTCCTTAGCTAAGACTTTAGAATCCCGCGCCATCGATGTGTGCTGCGTCTCCGAAACGCGCATACAGGATCCGAGTAGCGTCATTCACTTGACCTCACCATGCCAAAATAAAGAACCGACTCGATTCACACTTCGTGTATCTGAAAGCCCTGATTCTGCTTCCCGTGGCCTCTCCGGCGTATGTATAGCATTGAGTCCTAGGGCAGAATTAGCTCTCTTAAAGTGAATCGCAGTAGACAGTCGTTTGTGCGCTGTCCGACTAAACGGAACAGTAAGGATCCGAAAAGATAGAGACACTCGTCGTTGCCTCTTTGTTGTCTTTGCCTATTCTCCCACTGACTGCAGCTCAGATGATGTAAAAGATGAGTTTTACAGAAATCTCTCCGACCTTCTCCGAAAAGCTAGGCGCTCGGGTGTAGTAATAATGGCCGGTGACCTTAATGATCAAGTAGGCAAACTAAGCGATAGAGAAAGACACCTGGGTGGATCTTATAGCATCGTGGCTCAAAGAACAGATAATGGCGACCGTCTGTTGCAGCTATGTTCAGATAACCGCCTGTTCCTTGCAAATACTAACTTTAAGCATAAGGAAAAACATCTTTTAACATGGCGACCCCCTAATTCGTCCCAACGTTGGACCCAAATAGATCACATCGCTATCAGCCACCGATGAAGGGGCTCGATAGAAGACTGTCGCTCGTTCTGGAGCACATGCTTAGATTCAGATCATGCTCTCGTACGAGCGCGTATCTGTCTGCGTCTTACTGGACGTAAGAAAGACGCTGCAAGTAAACATCTTAGGGCCCTACTTAATGATAGTCAAGCTAAGAGTATATTTCAGGAACAACTAGGAAAACAGTTAGGCAGCCATGTATGTGATGCCCACCACGAGGTGGCACGGAGTGATATCCGAAAAGCTGTGGAAACAGCAGTGATATCTGCTTGTAAGGTAAACCAGAAGGTTAGGGAGCAACACTGGATCTCAGCAGCATCTATCTCACTGATAGATGCTCGGAAACTCATCCCACCTGGCTCTGAACATAATGAAGAGCGGAGTCAGCTTAAGCGCAAGCTGACAAGAAGTCTACGCAATGATCGTGAACAGTGGTGGGTAGCGAAAGCAAGAGAGATGGAAAAGGCAGCGGCAATAGGTAATAGCAGACAATTGTTCAGACTTGTTAAGAATACCGGTATTAGGAACCCGACTGTTAGCGAAACAATCTCAGAGAAAGATGGACATATTAATCATTCTCAATCCAGGAGATTGGATCGATGGGCAGAACACTTTAGGGAACAGTTCAACTGGCCTTCAGCCACACTTCTGTTTCCCACGATCTCCAGTCGACCTGAATGGTAAGTTGATGTAAGTCCTCCAACTTTTTGCGAAGTTGAAAAAGCTATAGGAAATCTGAAGCGTGAGAGAGAGGCAGGCTCTGACAGGTTTACTCCTGAGATTCTTAAGGATTGTGGTCCAGTATTAGCAGCGAGATTGACTGAGGTCTTAGTTAGGATTTGGGAACTGGACGTAATCCCATCTGACTGGTCTCAATCACTGATTGTGCCAGTCTATAAGAAAGGACAAAAGTCCTCTTGTGACAATCACAGAGGAATCAGTTTGACAAATATAGTGTCTAAAATATTAGCTTCAATAATACTTAGACGCCTAACCAAAGCTCGTGAAGAGCAGACTAGAGAAAACCAGGCTGGTTTTTGACCTGGACGTGGTTGTATAGACCAGATATTCACACTACGTCAGGTTCTAGAACACAGACCCACGTTCAGACGCCCCACAATGGTAGTATTTCTCGACCTTAAGGCAGCATTCGACTCTGTCGATCGTAAGGTTCTGTGGCAGTGTTTGTCACTGAAAGGAGTACCAACGAAGTACATTAACCTTATAAAGGTTCTCTACTCGAACACAACTGGTAGAGTGAGAGTTTATGGCGAACTGTTATCAGAATTGATTACCTCAAGTGGTGTTCGTCAGGGCTGCCCACTCTCTCCATTCTTGTTCAACTTTGTCGTCGACGTACTTTTAGAGATAACACTTTCCTCGTCTAGATTACCATTGTTGAACTTCTACCGGGAGGTTCACTTGCTGACTTAGAATATGCTGACGACATAGTTTTATTTGGTGAAGACGCTGACAAAATGCAGAGTCTTCTACGTTGTTACTGACTGTAGTTAGCATCGTTTTACAAATGCCTCAGTTGGAAATTCCACAACACTTAGTCTAAGTTTCATGATTGCTATGTTCAAAATATTGTTTTCATAACTATTTTGCGTCTCCATGTGGTCCGCCAGTTAAACATCGAATAGATACTTCTCATTGTGCTCATTTTCACTACAATTATGGTTCTTATTCATTTAAATTAATAAAAGTCACTACTATTTTACTGTTTCCAATGCTTTAGCGTTACTGGCATCTGGGTTTGAAGTTGTTGTCAGGGAAGCAGTTAGATTTACTTCGTTTCTTGTAAATCGTGAAGGCATAGTATTCTAATAATCTTTTGTTCAAAATATATAGTTTGGATTAAGATTGTTTCTTCTGAAAGTTTGAGCATCCTCACTATTAGACGTAGGCAGACATTTTTATTAAAGCCTCTTGTGAATTCGGTTAATGCCATGTGTTCAAAGCGTCCCTTCAGTTTCTTGTCAGTCTGGAGGTCCATTAGTTTCTTCCGAAGATGATAATTAGCCGCCTGTATCAAAAGGAAGTGTAAAGGTCGCCAAGTCAAACTGTTATTCAAATACTTTGAAATCTTCGGGACATCATGAAAACTCATTAGTGAGGAATAAAACCTGCCGACCGTATTCCTAAACTGGTTCTTGTCGGTCCTCTTGTATAACGTTGGGAAATTAGTGTATTTAAGCTTCTCAAGTTATTTAGACACTGGATTAAGTTTGGTTTCAAACAATATTTGACAATAAGTGATTCTCATTGTAGTTTACCTGATGGTGGGCTCTAAAGTGAATGGTAGAAGTCGTTAAATTTCGTGTTCACTTACGAATGAAGTTGTGCCTTCAAATAAAGCTTGTTCTCATTGAGTTTGGACTCTCCTCGCCCATGTTTATCTTAAAGCCGGGAGTTCAGTTATATAGATACTTCTAATAATTCATTGTTGTGTTTTAATATTTGATTCACGTTTCTTTAATGAAGGGTATTTATGCTTTCTGTAGGATTCTAGTTTATCTGAAGCACCCGGTGGGTCTTCCAGTGATACTCAAGCAAATGTAGTGTTTTCAAATTCCGCATCAGCACTGCTTTCCAAATTTGAGTCCTTACTATCCAATGGAAACAACCAAGGTTGTCAAAAAGATGGTGATCGGGTTTCTTGTAATGTTAATTGTTCACGCAACTTTAAACCAAAGCAAGAACCAGCGGATACTACCCAAGAAAACGATAAACCATCAACCCTTAACACTAAGCAATTGTTAAAACCTCTAGATTGTGAAGAGTCGACAGATTTATCGAACCACTCTGATGTAAGTTTGTCTAATGTCAAATAATCCTTAATTTTTATTTTGAGTAGCTGTCAGGTTAAGTATTCGGAAAGAATATTTTCTTACTTTTATACACTTGTTTAGTATTTGGAACTTTCTATATTCCCTTATGTACAGCGTTGGTAAAACACTGGGCTCTGGACTAAGAAATTGCAAGTCCACTCTTCTCCATATACTTCAGCTTGAGCAGTCATATAATCACTAAACCTCATACAACGTACTGTGTAGGTAGTCCTGTACTTAATAAGTGAGCTACACTGCCATCAATTTCTACTTTCATACAGAGATAATCAATTTAAGCCAAATAACAAACTGAATAGCTTTATGTATAGTCTTTTTAAATTATATTGGAACTTTGAAATGCTGATTTTACGTTTAAATTTCGTATTTTTTTGTAATTTAGATTCATCTTTCTGAACTACAGAAATTGATTGAAGAATCAGAAAGATTTGATGAGATGGTTAAACGACTTGTATTAATAACAAGGAGAGCAGTAAGTCGTTTAAGTTGACATCGTTATGCTAATCAGTCAGTTAGTCAGTCACATGTAACGTGGGACTTGGGACATGTATGCATCTATTCAGGTTGATGCACTGTTAGCGCAAAGAGATACAATTGTCATGGCAAATCATAGAACAGATGTAGCAGTAGTAGTGGCAGTAGAAAAGGTTAGGCATGTGGTTCCATAAGATATGGATTTGTGGGATGACTGTCTTTTTATCGTTATTTATTCCTTATTGCATTCTGTACAATAAGGATTCGACTCTGAACGAAGTCATCTTCAGTTGTGTTTGTATCCAAAGAATAGCTACCCAGATGTTTAGTTCAGTAGATATTGATTTTGCATTATCTAGTTAAATATAAAATTTCAAACGTATCACGCGACTAGTTTATTTCATAACTACAAGTATAAGACTTCGTGAAGCTTCATATCCCATGTGTCTTAACAACGCAGTTGTGAAACCTAAAAATTTATAAAGCAAAATGTCATTAGTCGATGGATTCATGGACAATTGTACTAAACCGTGTTATTAGATGTAGACTGCCTGGTTGGGGTTCGCGTCATTATCGTAACCAGTAGTTAGAGACTAAGTGGTATGGCTCAAAATCGCTTGGAATGGTTCAGGTGCATCCACTCATCGTTTCTTCCCCAGATTCTATGCTTCTAAATTCCGCAAACATTTCCTATTTCATTAATTTGTATTTTCTTGAATCGTCTCTTCGATGCCTAATATTTTTTATTACCACTGATTCTGTTATCATCACTGCTTTAAGATTTACCCTAACAATTTCATCTCCCTATGCTAATGGGTATAACAATTTGAACCTATTTACATACGTACCAGGTTCCATGTCGTTATTTTTCGAGTCATTTAACCTTCCCCAATATTTTCGATACGTTTATTATTCCTACTTTCCATCTTATTACTTTCACCTTATTGTGTTGATGCGGTGTAATAACTTGGATTGATCCATAGTTGTGTCAGATTCTTGTTTGATTTTTGCTGAGTGATTGATATTCACTAATCTACCCATAATTCTCTTTTTAGCTAACTGTCTTGTTAGCATGTTATCACTATTTTCTTTTTGAGTTTTATCATATTTTCTCATAGCTAACTACGGATAGGGTACGTATCTCGCAATTATTGCTGAATCAAATTGCTAAAAATTCAGTAAAAGTAAATTTGCATAGATTATTCTATTTCTTGTACAATAATGTTCCAATCTCCAGTTTTAACTGGTTTAATTGATGATTATACAGAGTAATTCAATCTATACCTATTCTTTATTCTTCTCTCTCTTTATATATATAATAACATTTTGAAATGCTAACATTGATAAAAACGTGTGTATTTTATGTTAAAATTTATTTTATTGGCTTCATTAGAATCTTGGTGAATCTACAAAGTTGCTGGTAGATATTTCGAAACGATTCTCTGAGCTTCAGATCAGTTTTAATTCACTGAAAGAAAGTTATGATGTAAGCTTTTGTAATATGTTCTGTTCATTCAAAACTGGTATTTTGATATGTTTGCTTTTATTTTTGTTTGTGGATAATATTTTACACTTTAAGAATACTAAAATATAAATTCAATCAGTTTAAACACTTAATTTATTATGTGATTTTTAAGTACTCTAGAACTTTTGTACTTAAAACCACACCATTCAGTTGTTTGAAACCACTTAATATTGTGGTAATTTTAACACTCGTTGTGCACAACTATCTCACGCGTTGCTCATTCTTCCGTGGCAAATATCAAAAGTAATCTCAGATCAAAGGGAATATGCACATGTGTCTGACTAAAATCAATAATCCATCCGTGATCGTGATCTATTATTTCTCGGACCAATATTATATTAAATATGTGTATACATGTTTTGATTTCTAAACAGATGTGCTACGTTTTCTGCATAAAAATGTGTTTATTTTTCAGTCGCTTCATAGTGAACCTCAACTACCTCCTGAATTGCGTAAAGTTCAGGTAAGTGTATTGATTGTTATTCTTTCATTGTTTACTAGTGTTTTCAATGTTCAGTTCAGTTGCATGTTTTTCCGTCATTTCTATTTTAATAAATGTACTATTGTGTTGTTGTAAACTTCGTTCCTAGATTCACTTTTTTCCATTTTTATCCTGTTCAAAGCATGAATTCAATGCTTTATTTTGGCTTATATATGTACTTTATCAAAAATTATCATCTTACAATTTTAGCTTTCAAGTTTTCGTGAATTTCTCAACAGTCTTAGCCGTAATTTTGATTCAACCAAAGAATGCTTTTACACAATCCATCATCTTGTCAAAGCTACTATTGAACAACAACTGGTAATAATTTGGCTTTTTTTTTGTTTTTATGTATTTCTTGTTATCATGTATACTTTTATTATTTCATAACATTCAGCGTATTGTTATATTCATTTGACATACTCTCTTTGTTTTATCTACACAAAATGATATTACAGCTAAATACTTATGGCATGACCGTTTTATTTCTGAAGATTATGTTAACAGGCATTTCATTTTTCTAACATTAACTCTATAACATCTAACGCTTATTAGTCTTCATTTGCGAATGTAAACATTTGTTGCCGTTTCAGAGTCAAAAATGGAACGTGGAATGAGCATTCCAACTCCTTAAACATTATTTCTATTTAAACATTTTAATAATATTATTAACTCTCGTATTATAACTGTGTCCTCATTCGCTATTATGGGAATATATTTGTTTTTGATCATTAAGGTATTTTCATGTAAAGCAACAGTTCACCTTTTGTAAGTGTTTTTTGTTCACCAATAAATTTGTACGTCCAACTTCTATGAATGATGAGGCCTTCACATAGAGCATTATAAGAAATCATCACATAACTTATACTTTATATCCATGTATTTTTGTTCATTTAGAGACTTAACCAACGATTTCGAGCATGTTTTTTATGTATGCGATTTAACTTTGTTGCTTATCAGTGCCAATTAAAGTACATATTATTTTGGATGTATTTTTACATATGGAATTCACAGATGTCTGATAGATTGAGCAAATATTCATGTAAACGACGAAACACACCTGAAACTTCCTTATTAACTCTTATCCATTAAAATGATAAACTGAATATTATATACATCGTTTTTTGGTATTAGTTTATCGCCAAATCTCTACTCTCACACAAACAATATTCTTGTGTCATGTTAAGTTTTTCATAGATATTCAGTACAACATAGAATTTTGTAAAATACAGAGCTTACTCAAGATGTATTGTACGTTGTTTTTCTGGGAAAGGTAATTTTTAGCTTACCGTCTTTAAGTTGTCTTCATTATTCATGCATACACATAACAGGTAGACTAAAAAGCAGTCGATAAATACCCACATTATTCTCATAGTTCACTAGTTGAGATTTTTTATTTTTTGCAATCGTTTCATAAACAAGTGTCCTGCAAAGTTTCTAACCACTGTTATACATTCTGTTATTCTTACTGTATACTACAGAGAGGATATAATCTGATTCAAGGAGTAGCAAAGTTATATCCATCCGGTAGTACATTCGTTCTTTAAAATCTATTTTTTCTTGTTTTTTTCTGAAGGCGAATGGAACACTGCAGGATGTAGATCATAGTGATGAAGAAAATAATTCAACTTTGCCTGTCAATCCAACTGGTTCTGTTACTCTAAAGGACGGTAATATAGAACTAAGTAAGACCTTTTTCCCTTATTTCCAAGTCATGTAAATACAGTGTAATACCGGTATTTAAATGATATAACATGTATAGCACTTTTTTGTTATAATATTAATAAATATTCACAATAATTTCTAGTAGTAATAAGTAAGTGTATTTTTTGTGTTTTGTTTTGCCAGATACAAGCAAACAAATTAATGATGAACACGTTGAAGATGGTGATCCTGAATTTCTAACTCAAAAGGCTTATTTAATAGCATTACAACAGCGTACAGCTCAAGAAAAAGAAGAAATTGCAAAATTACTACAACAACGAGATGAACTAGCTGGACGTTTGGCATCACTTAAAGCAGGTAATCTTCTAGTCAACAAAATAGAAAGATCATTATTAATGTAAGGGACTTTCATAGTTTACATCACGAACTGAAATCAGTTATACAACAATTAAAAACCAGGAAGCACTGTGCAGATTTTTCGTCCTAGTGTGGGGTTCCTCATTAGTGCACACCCCTCAGCCCACTGAGGATCTGACACAGAACCTTTAGGTCTTGCGACAAGGGATTAACTTTTAGACTACTGGGCGAGATTATAATTTATGGAGGACCCTTGAACGAGTCTTAAGTGACCTTGAGAAATATTGACCAATCAGAAAGCAGTATAGAGTAAAAATATACTATACAAAACCAAAGAATTAAAGTGGATACACTTCTTTTACATGGTTCGAAAACTTGTCAAGGTTAGAAAGAAGTTCGGAGGTTCTTGAATCGTAATGCATAAGGTAGAGGAACTCATCCATATGGCTCCATAATAGTTGGCCTCTGGAGCCATGATAAGGTTGCGAAAACTCTTTCAGCCTCAACCACATAGCTTCAATATCGTTAGTGCGCACTCTGGTTGTTAGGTCCACAAATGGCACTTGTGGATAGCAACATGATGCTCATAGCCCAGTCTATGTAGGCATTTGTACACTCCACTCATCTGTAATATATTGTAGTGCCCAGCTGCACATATTCCCATATAATTGGTATTATCATTGTTGCCTGTCTGTTTCTAACCCGTTGGAAGTGTCCCTTTTGAAATGACCTGTCGTATATTCCAAGGACTTGTGAGATATATATATGAAAGTGCTACTTACCTTGTCTTCTTTAACAATATGTCCTCTGTTGAATTTTCGTTTTCTGACTACTGTTTCGTCTATTTCAACGATTCTTCCGACTCCCCCGAACGACTCGTCTAAGTTCTTCATTTTGATTGAGCATATATCTCTACAATACTCATTCCACTGAACAGCTAAAGCTTCAGTAACATCTGCAAATTTTGCGGCCGGTGTTGCTGGTGCTTTTATTATCCAGTTCTCAACAATTATCATAATTTGCCTTAGTCTCAATGTGGATCGAGCGAAAAAAAGTTCCTTTTCTAGCAGACTTCTTCCTTCTACATAAATAACGTTGAAGCACAACATCGTCACTGTAGTCTGCACAGGGTCCAGCAGTCATTTGATTACCGCAGTCACAAATAAATGAACTTCTTAGTAATTCCATTTGTTGTAGCTGCTCAATTATCACGTCTTCTCTAAAATCTGCTGTAAACCGATCGTACGCGAGCATCGAGTGCTGAAGTTGACGTCCTGACCTTGAAATCCCTGAAACGCTTCTGCTTGGCTCGTCTATAAATTATAGTCTCGCCAACTATTGGGTCACCATCTGAACCTTACAGTCAATTCAAGATATTACACAACCATTTTCCAATACCATTGGTGGGTTATATATTGTTTGTCTGTTCAGAAAAAACCAAATCACTTGTAATTTTTATGGTAAATGATTTCTTCTTTTTTTATTTCTCTTATCAATTTAGCTGCTAGTAGAGCATCATTTGATACTCGTGTTACTTCTGGCGACTCAGTCGAATCAACTCAAACTGATGAGTTGGAAAATGGAGATGAACGGTAACATAAACATGTTCTCTGATATTGCAAGGTTTAATTTTCCTTTTTGCAATGTTTTTCAGTGCACGTTTTAGAACTATATGGGAAGCTGTTATATTAAATAATAATAATAATAATAATAATAATAATAATAATAATAATAATAATAATAATAATAATAAGTATTTAAAGCTTGAATCACACAACACAATTGACAATTAATTGTAAAAACTATATTTTTACTCCTAGTAATAGTGGGTCGGCCAGTGTATCACCTGACATACTTTCTAGTCTGGAAGCTAAAAAACGTGAGTTAAATGAATTAAAGACTCAACTTGAACTCCTTCGCAAGGCTGAAGCTAAAATCGCTAAATTTACACCAGCTCTACAAGGTCCAAGAGATATACATAATTCAAACATTGCTGCTCTACCACAAGAGACGTTAGACGATAAGCGAGTCACTTCTGCTTCGCAGTCCATTCTTCCAGAAGTCAGTTCACCTCGGACAAGATTTGCAATTTATAAAGATGACTCTGATGATCTAGTGAATACAAAACCCGCTGGAAATGTATCATTATCTTCGGATTTATCAACCAAAGCTGATTCTGTGACTTTTCAGGTACCCATTTTCGGTATTTTTCTAAATTGTTATTATGTATTAGGTTCTCATTTAAAACAGGCAATGTTAAGATGATATCATGAATTACTTATTGTTAAGAAAATTTCCGAATAATCCTAAATAGTAGCATGTGTTATGACATCATCGAAATATGGCATGAAGTTGAATAATTATTGTTACTGACTTGTACGTTTTTATGGGGCATAGTTTTCACTTTCTTTACTAATTTGTATAGTGCCTCAACACACTAATTCTAAAAAATTTAGATTAAGTTTGTATTTGCTTTTTGGCTTATATGACGAATACGTCATCTGAAGTTCTAATTCCAAGAAATATGATTGGAAGTTGTGCATTCTACGATTGTTAGTATATATATATTGTAAGAATTGAATTACTACTTGCGTTTGTATACTATACTTATTAAATTTAAATTGAAGCGAGGCTAAGGTATATTAAGTTCGCATAAAATCACTTCGAATCTATAGAAGTATAGGGTGAAAGTGTAGTTTTCTCGAAAACCTCTGAGATTTCGAAATCCCGAATTTAGGAGGCCTCATTGATCGATGCACTTCCTTTGGTAACCATGTTTTCATTAAAGCTGAATTACTGGACAAAGATATATCACATTCTATCTCAAGTCCACGGTAAACGAGATCCAGGTTCGGGTGGGATATTAGTGATAAATAAATTTTTCACCTAGCCCGAGGTTACCACTCACATGTTTCTGTAAGTCTAGCAGTATATTATATGTATATGCTGTAAACATCAATCGAGTTTGGAAACTAAACTCTTTACAGTTTTGATGTTTTTTCTCCATAGTTAGTAGCAAGACATCAGATTAATCCAACCACAGTGCGCAAAGACGGACCTTTATTTGTATTTGTTCAGTTTTTTTAAGAAATATTACTGTCCAGAACGATACACTATTTCATGTAGGACTATGGTTTGATCCAGTTAACCATTCTATTCAAGATATTCAAGCACCATTTTTATTTAAGAAATTTGAAATGTATCTGAATTTCTGTAGGATTAAGCCTAAATGTTTTCAGTTTATTTTAGCAACGCTTTCATTTGTTTGTACAGCAACCAGAGGTGACCTGTATTGATAACACCGAACGTTTGTATGTTAATATGCGTGAGGCACGAATACAAATAGAAGAACAACGGAATCGATATGATCGGAGTACTTCAAATGGAATCAATAATACCAATTCTACCGCTCAAAAACCATTGCAGCATGTCAGTTGTAGCGGTGCTTCTGTCGCAACTAGTCAAGATAGAACAACTCTAGCAACTTGGGGTGGATCTTCACCTGTCCCTTCTTGTTCATCTGAAGCTTCTGAAGCAAGTGACGAAGGAGATGGCGTTAGTGTTTCTGACTCCCTACCTTTAAGTAAGTTTCTCTCTGTTAGGTCATGTTTATTAGCTATAACACACCTAGGCATATGGTAGACTAGTCAATTTTAGGTGTAAATAATTGTTTGTCTTCCCCAATCTTCATACTGTTCTGCGTTACTATCACACTGAGTGTGGATACGTTTACACGATCATAAGTGTCAGGTTGTTTTGCAATGAGTATCCTGGATCGTATAGTCAAATTGGGTGGGTCACTGCATTCCTTCTTGATCCGAATTGTTGAAAATCCTCTTTATTACATGAAAGTACACTATTTACGAGTGATGTTGGTTTGTTCAAATAACACTGGATTTCAAATTGAATATGTACATGGATGAATTGTTTGTCCTTTTTGTTTAAACAGGTTTGTTTTATTTTGAACTTTTAGTTTTTACTTTTCCAAGTCTTAAAAATTATGCTAATGTTCATCTCTCCTCTCTTTTTCTCTAAGATTTCCACAATTATTCATGTTTTATGCATTTCCTGTTGATTTCTCACTGTGTCAGCTGATGGATTTGTGACATATCTCAAGTTATATTTCTGGTTATTCACTTTAACAAGGAATGGCTCAGACTTGTTCACAGTGGTGTAGATTGCTTCAGTTATTTATTATGTTCTATATTTTACGTTCATATATTCCTTCGTACATACCATTTTCATTCTATTTTCTCGAGCCATACTTTCAGTGTTTAATCTTACTGTCTTTGCTATTATGATTATTTTGACTCGTTTGCTGTTCATCTTGTTAGTTTTATCTCGCATGGCAAGTTGGGCTAACGCACATTTGTGCCACCAGACTCCAAGTTGATTATAACTGACTAGCTGATTGTTTCAGTAAGAAATAGGTTATTTGCTTCCGTTTTTGTTACTTAATTAACACTTCTCATAATATGTACGCCATAATTAAAAAGGGTTATTACATTCTTAAAGATCATTCAATGTTTACGGTACTATTTTATCTTGACACAAGCTAATAACATTAGTTCACAATGAATAATAACTACTAGTCCGATATATCTCACATTTTTTCATGTGAATGTTACCTGTGGATTATCATTCCAAACTGACTTATTGTACACCCACAGAATAAGTATTTGTGTTGTATCACTTTGATATCTGAATTTTATATAGAAGGAGCAGAAATGTAGTTGTAGGTTCGCTCAATATTCATAGCGAAGAAGTAATCAAAATATCTTTGACACCCATCTCCCGTCCGTTTGTAGAAGTTTAAGGGGAGAAAAGTAAAAATGTGGTTATATAATACAAAGTCAGTCGTCATCCGGATAAAACTTGAGACAGATGTAAGTGGTCCCAAGTTGCACACCACATTAGCACGACGAGACGAATAGGAAAACCAATCGAAATCACGTAGTAGCAATCATAATGACTAAACATTAGGAATATGGTTCAAAAAGATAGAGTGAGGCGATATTATATATATATATAAAGTAATACTGTAATTCGGGAAAAACCAGTCAATCTTAAGTAGAGATGATGTACTGTACTTAGTACAATGTGTGACTTATGTTTACAGTAAATATATGTTAGTTTTTCATAAATGTTTTTATATTATACATTCTAAGGATTTCTGAAACTATCAAAGTCATTGACAAGTAATACAACTAAAAAAATAACTAATCTTCACTTATATGATAATTACCGAGTTTAATAGGAAGAGAAGATACTTTAGGGTTCTTTATATTCATTTATAATTATTTATATTGCTCTGTGATTCGTGTCATCTTGTAACGTTTAACTGTGATACATATGCATTAAAATAGGTCAAAATCATAATGTTGTTAATAAATGATTATTGAGTAAAAATGAATAAATAAATTAAAGACCATATCCACAACCTAATGATCTATAGTGAGCCAGGATTTCATCGTTATATGTTTTTATATGATAGTTTAAAATGTTTGTTTTTCCCAGTTAAATTTAGTAATCAAACTGTTTGCGTAATCTAACTTTAAAAAATTGTTGATTGCACATCTGCAAACTGTACTTAACTCACTCTTAATTCCTTTAGTGACATATCCATTCAACTATATACTCATATTTTCCATATTTACGTGAGAATTCTACTCTTGAAAATCAAATATAAGTTATTTTTGCTACCTAAAATTCTTGTTACAAGGTCAAATTCTTAGTTGATATTTTTTGTGGTCAAAATCAGTGTGAATTTAATTCTCATAGACAAAATGTACGAGTATGATGATGTCTAAAGTTAAAGAAAAAAACCCAGATTAGTTTCATTGAATTAAACACTAATATCATGTACGAACCTTCACTGTACATTTTAGTTTAGCTTGGACAACATGCTATTATCATTCAAAATTTCAGATTATTTTTAATAACCATCAAATGTGAATGTCAAAATTTTTCTTAAGTGGTGGACAACTAAGAAATTTCTCTTTGTTACTCCTTAGTAGTGACTTTTTTAGAAGAGTAATAAACCTATTAGTAAGTTTTATTGTTTCTTTGTAATTTCAACAGGTACATGTCTTTCAGTGTCTGCAGTTAATAATGCTTCTAATGTTATTCGATCTGTTCCCAATGGGCATTTGAAAAGTGTACCCAGCTCTGTTGCAACCAGTTCCTTGGATATGCCTGGTGAACCATGTTCAGTTATTAAGAGAGCATCAAGAAAATGTGAAGATATTCACGGAAATAATTTAGATAATGTTTATGTTTCTTCTACTGATGATGTTCCATATAAATTATCACTTCCGCAGGTTGGTCGAAGTCCATCTCCTCCAACTCGTCACAAAAACAAATCAGGGGATACTCAAATAAAGGATGGTTTGAATAAATTGATTGATCAACGTTTACACTCACAACAAAATTCATTAGGTGAACACACTAATGCTTCTGCTAACCAGAATACTGGAGTTTTGGGTCATATAGTTGTTGCATCAAATTGTAATGACTTTGATGATGGTCGAATGTCAGATCTGTCTGGTGCCATAGCCAATGAACGTAAGTTATTGAGAAAATTTCTATTCGATGATCTCACTAATATGCTATTTCCTTAGTTAATCATTGTCTACTGGTAATAATATGTTACCAAAACTACTTTAATCACAAAGTTCTATTATCTATTTTCTAACCGAAACTGTATTATAAGTTTTCTTATACAAACCACAACCGTTATCACTTCATTGTCTCATCCAGGTATTTGTAGGTTTGACTTGATTTGTTAAGAATGATCAGGAGTACTTGATTTATATGCCATTATTTAGCTGAGATTAATACAGACAACCATCTTGGCACCAGTTTTTGGTTACTTTGCCAATAAAATCCTTTTATAACTTATCCCATCATTTCGATGTTTTCTTTAGTTATCCGGTGGTAGTATTTTAAGTATTCCCCTTGAAATCTTCGTAATCATTGTACTATCATATTCTAGCTTTCAACCATTGTCAATTCTTAGTTGTAAATTGACTTAGGAGTGTTATGAATCGAACTGCATTTAACGATAGCAAGATTTATCCATGATGAATTTACTATGCAAGCCTATACGAATTTTTATTTGCATTTGTATTGCATATATAATACATGTGATAACTGAAATTTTCATTCTAATTATTCTGGTTACTTTGTTATCATTCTCATGAATAACTTTGAACTCATATCTCTATATGCATTTTTTGTATAATTGAGAATTTTTATCTGTCGTACTGTGTATTTGTATTAATTCAGTGGAATATGTTACTTTTAAGCATTTACCACCTCATTGTATTATTTTCGGCTTGGTTGTTTAGATTGCTAATGGTAACTTAAACACCATTCAAATATTACTCATCACTCATGTTCCCATTATATGGTTAACGTACATCTCTAACAGTTATTCACTTCAATTTAGGGTAAGAAATTCGAATTCATCAATACAAACAGCGTCTTATCACTTACGTGAAGATCATTTGTTTCAGAACTAGTACTATTCTCTACTTGTCAGAACTGACGGTTTTTTTGAAGTCTTTTTTTACCATGATTTAAAAAGGGTTCTTAGCTTCACATATGAAAAGAAAAAGTAACCAGTTACCTTATAGCTGAAATTATTTTCAAATTCTAATGGTTATTTAATTAGTTTTCACTTTCTTAATTCATATTTTAGAGCAAAAGAGAAGTATTAAAATACATCCAATCGTAATATCTTTACTAGTATTACTAAACATGCGCATATATTTACAAAAAGTTTTGTTTCTATGTGTGTTTGGAGATTATTAAAATCAAAGCGACAGTGGTATTTCTTGTTTTTTTATGTACGCGTTTCTCTGTTTACCAATGAAGTTGTAATTAATTTTTATTACTACATGAAATCTAAAAGTTTACTCTCAATGGGTCAAATTTTTGGTAGTTTACATAGCTTTACGTTGGTTTATGTAATACCCTATAATTGTATTATGTGAGGGAGTGATTTTGACCATCAGCATTGTATGTTTATCTTTCCAATAGGGATTCAACGTTTAGAGTCAAATGTAGCCCAGCTCTATCAAGTATGTCGTTGTTTGATGCTCGAAAACTCTCATTTGAATTCTACAGTCACTCAGTTAATGTTACACAACTCATCTCATCAGCCTATTTCATCAATCACATCTTTGGAGCCGTCCATTTCAGCTGTTGGATCTATTGCATTTCATCAGTGTCAATGTAGTTCGTCTATTCCAAGTTATAACCAAATACTATTAACTGACTCTGGAGCATCTTACCAAGCGATGCTTTATAGACAAGAGCATCCATCAAAGAGTTTACCTTGTTCCTTGAATGTATGTCCACGAAGTTCTGTTGCGTACGCTCCTAATAGTTTAAGAGATACTGACCAGCCGCTTACACAGAGTGGTGTCCATGAGGTTCCCCAGATCCAGGTATGTTTAATTTCTGTCATTTTCCCAAATACATGTCCGTTATTCTGTTTATTATTGGAATGTAAATTTTTGGTCCGTTTAAAAGGATTATATTAATAATGTTTGTGATTTTTGTGACTACAAATAGAAATCATCATTATTTTATGTGAAATAAAATAGCTACATTTCTCATTGAAATAAGCGTAAGTAAAAATGAAGGCAGGTGCAGATGAGTTTACATAAAGGTCGTATATATCTTATTCATATAGTCAAAGGCTAGAGAATGCAACTGTTTCATTGGTTATATAACAAAATATGTATGGGAACCCCTATACAATCACGTCCTAGTTTTGTTATATATTACAATTAGTTTCTATCGTGGAAATGTATTATAATTGATGTATCTTGAGGATCGCTAACCACTGTCGCGTGCTAAGCCATCAATCAAAATCCTTATCCTAATTTGGTCTATTTTGCATCTACTCTTTCTTCGATAGCCTACTATCCTCGGATTAATCAGTTACACGCCCGACCAACACTGTCGACCTTGACCCGATCCAGTTACGTTTCCGTCTGTCCGTTATTCGCAAGCTTCGCTCTATGCCCCTACCTTGAGTCCAAAAGTCGGCAACCAACTTCCACCATATTTATATTTCAGACAGACATGGTTTATATGCAGAAATATCGAACCTCATCACACTATAAAGTGAGAAATAACAACTATACATAAACAGACCAAAGGTGTCTATGAGTGGGGCGAGCGTAAGCAATCGTCTGGCAACAGATTAGGAATAGTACGTCGTATGATCATAGTTTATGGGTTAACCGAAATCTTATGATGAACAAAATACATAAACATGGTAATGTAGTTACTTATTAAGAATACAGTTAGAAAAGTAATTCATAAACTAATTGTTGAAGTTACCATTTTATCAACCTTCATTCTGATATGTCGATAGTAGTTTGGGGACTTATGTCGTGGATATGAGCCCCAACCATCTTACTATGGTTTTGTCAACTGACTGTTGTCACTGTCCTTCATACATAAAATATATTTCTCGTAACCGAATCTGTGAGCAATTCAAAGTGATTATTGTTGTTTATAAAGGATTGTAGATCCACTTTCCTCATCTTTGTTTCGAATTCTCGATTTGAACCACACTTCTTACACTATACTACTAATGAATATTTGTTTCATCTATTAATCCTAATCTTTTCTCTTTAGCTGCTTATTAATCAAATTATGCAACAGCAATCTAATCTTACTCAATTGCAATTGGAGCTTCATCGTTTGACGCGATCACAGTCACAAATTAAGCCGTCATTTCTTCCTACTGATGGTAATTTCCATGGACCTTTATTATCTCATCCGGAGAATACTGGGTTAAATTTTCCGGCTGTTACTGCCCATTTACTACAGGGGACTACAGGATTTCCTCCGTCTGTCGAGTCGATCAGCCGTCAGGTTAATTTTACAGGAACCAATAATTCTCCTCAAATGCTTGGAAATTCTCTTGTCTCACCCCAAACTTTGTCGGCTAACTGGTCTTTGAATACTGTTCCTAATGTTCATCAGTGTTCCAGAGATGCTACATTTTCAAATATAGGTAATGGTCATTTTATATTTGTGTATTACTCATTTTTGTGTGATTCAATTTCTACTAACTGTGTAGCGATAACGTTACTTAAGATCAGTCGAATCATGCCTTATCACGATTGCTCGATTGTTTTGGATTCATCAAATGCATATTGTTAAAGTTAGGTGCAAAGTTTTATGCAAACAGTGCTTATTTATTCAGGTTTTGGAATTGAATCGACTGTATATATTGTTGTATGATATACCGCGATATTTAATTTTAAATGAAGGAGGAACAGTTTAAAAAAGTTATTCAAACCATGACTTGACACCATCCCGTAAAAACACTTACTGTCATTCTGTCGGGGATGTTAGATCCCCAGAACTCACTTGGTAGACGTCTTATTTTTGTAATTTTATTTTGGAAATTTGAATTTCTTGTTTTCACATCCAAAGCGCCCATTTTCATCTTCATACCGTATTTCCCATTTGGGAGGACTTTAAATGTCATTAGTTTGTTGTCCCTTTCAATATGCTATTTTGTTACGTCTACCAAGGACATCTTTATGCTATATATATATATATATATATATATATATATGTGTTTGAGTTGTGCTTGTTGTTGTTCGTGCTTCTGGCTGCTTGTGGAATACATTTTCCCTCTTTCGAACATGGACTTCTCTCTAGTTAGAGGGGCTGGGATGCATCGGAATAATTAGCTTATTTGGTTATTGTGTCGCTGAGTCTTCGTTCGATTCTCAGATTTAGGTGAACTCTTAGTCTCTTCAAACATAGCACATTCTGAATATTAACAAAGCGTGGAGACTTTCAAGTAGGATCTTGTAGACTGTAGCAATTACTAGTTAATATCATAGTTCAGAATTATTCACAATGGTACAGATCCCTTATTTTTCACTAGATTTCTAACGTATCGGTACTTTTCTTCTGTTTTTTTACTAAACTTGTTTTGTTCTCATTTATAATTACATTTTTTGTTAACATTTTACTTTGGAGTTTAACATCGAATGGTACAGGGATGAGATAATTGGCTGGTTCACTGAGTACACTAGGTTAATTTGGATAAGACTAAAGATGTCCACCAGCATATTAAAGTGGATTTGAACAAGTAGTAATATTGATTAAATGTAGTCACTTCATTGTCTACCAATTATTCGATGAGAAATTTCTGATTTTCCAGCTACTTGAAGGTTAATAAAAAACATCTTTGTGATGCCCTAATCAGTAGAAAATTGTATTTCTGACATTTCGTGACCTAGTCTAAGTTAATTCTTTAGAGTAGATAACTATCACTTCCAACTTTGGCCTTGACACTTATAAGCTACTTGAAGAGTTTGAAATATCATATGTTTGATAGCTTTTGACCAGAGAAATTTTCGGTATCATTCACGTGCTTCACTCCTATCAAGATAGATTTGAATAATTAGTTACAAGAAAGTTGTCGTTTCCTAAAATAGTTTCGACAAGATTCAACGATATACTTAAATATATTCCCTGATTCGTAGCCTGAAAAGTACAAAAACATTTAAACAGTGAACAGTTTAGGCCTTAACATGAAATACAATATCTTTTGAGTAATGTATTCATATCGAACCTCGTCATTTATAATTGAGTTTTCAGTTAGGCATGACTAAATTCCAAGATACAGTGAAGGAAGTGGCGCTCAGTAGTTGTTATTTCCTATCTTTCCTTAATTTTAAAAGTGAAAGACTTTTATAATGATTATTTATTTGATACATATGAGCAAATGCAGGTCAAGACAACCACTATAGCGGAAACCTCAACATGCACAAGGGGAAAACCAAGACCTTCAAATACAACACGGAGAACAGAACACCAACATGCTTCGGTCTGGGCACCCCGGGCAGTATTATAACCCACACACAAATTAAGTGACTTGTGTGGCGCATATGTATTCGGTGCCCCTTTGTACCAATATTTATATGTTCAAACAAATAAACCCGATCACACTTGATAGAGAAGCTCTGGAAGAAGGGGTGGAAACTCCCGTATCTGAGAAGCATTATCGATAAACAAAAAGGATCGAATGCAATGTAAAGATAAGGGTTGGTGACACAAGGACAGCATTCCTGCAGTTGAGGAAAATATAGAACTCTAAACAACTGTCAACCAACATCAAAGTCAAAATCTTCAGTACGGACGTCCAGCAGTCCTACTGTACATACAAAGCTGAAACTTGAAGAACTACTACAACCATCATCAGAAAAGTACAAGTATCTATAAACAATTGTCTCTTCAAGATACTCAATGTCCATCGACCGGATGCCATCAGCAACACCCTACTGTGGAAGAGGACAAATCAGCTTCCAGTTAAAGAAGTTAGGAAAAGATGCTGAAGGTGGATAGGACATACATTTAGGAAATCCTTGAACTGCATCACGAGGCAAGCGCTAGCTTGGAATCCTAAAGGGAAATGGAAAAGAGGAAGACTAAAGAACACACTGCGTTGGGAATTGGGAGCAGACATTAAAAGCATAAACAGGAACTGGAAAAGACTGTCCATGACAGAGTTTGATAGTTAATGTTGGTGGGCGGCCTATGCTCTTCTACGAAGAGTAACAAACGTAAGTAATATCATGTAATATCGACTTATTGTTAGTTATTCTGTTTGTCACTCATATATAATATTGAGATTTCATCTACTTAACTAGTTTTTGTGAATTTAATTTTATATGTAGGTCAAAGACCATCTGTACAAACTGCATCTATTCCGAGCTCTGTTTTACTAACTGATCCCAGTGTGAATCTTACATCGCCTCATGGTTCTTCTCTCTGTCAAAACAACATTGGTAAGTCTTCATCTGATTGCCAATATAGTATCCTAAACTACTCATATTTTTATGCAGTTGTCATACATTGTGAAGGATCAATATCAGATTTGAATTACCCTTAGATTTTTTTTACTTTCTGTGCATTATAGAACTGATTAGCTTCCATTTAAACAAGTACTATTATTGTGTGGCTACACCCAAACCCTTTCAATTGAAATGAGGTTTAAAAACTCATGACTCGTTAATTGAATACTTAAATCATTGAGTTGTGTAGTGAACGAACACTCAGATGAGGAAGACCAGTTAATTGTTAAACGCAAAATTACAGAGTGCTTTCGTAAAATATGAAAAGCATGCATTAAGTGCATAATTTGCACGTCTTTCATCAGTTTTTCTGACTCTTTCAATTCTGTTGCTGTTACATTTAATTTCTGTTTTCTTCAGTTAAATCTCCGCAATCTTCTACTGGCACACATTCCACTTCCGATTGGTGTTGCATGCTACTTATATCTGTTAACATAAGTAGCTTATACCACAGTTGTAATTATCTTAAAGAGGTTTTTTATGGTACAAATATGTTAGATAATTATAAACTAGTACAATAATTAATCCAGAATTCCCTATATGTATAAATTTTTTGGACTGATAACCTCAATTCATTCGACTGATTTCAATGCAGATCTAATACTCAAATAGTTTTAATTCTTACTTACACTGATATTTGTTACTAAAAGCTAGAGATTACAAATAATATTATGGTAATAAACTCTAGAAAATCTATCTACTAGTTAATTTTGCTTCACATAGGCTTAATGTTCATAGTGTTAACTAAACCTGAACTTGATAAATTCTAATTTTTTGGATGTTCTGAAAACCACTAATGTGTACTTATTAGAACATGTTGCCATGGTTCCAATTGAAGACTTTACTTTTAAAGTTATGTATAATTTCATTTATAAATCTACTGGAGCAATATTTGAACATTCGAATAAACAATAAATAGGTTTTTAACAGCTCATTTTATCTATAAGGTTTGAGGAGCGTAAATCCATTGTTTCTAAACAGTTAAAAGAGGGTGTATTTGAAAGTTTATGGTATTCAGCTCATTTGATCCGCTGGAGTTCACTTCTCTCCCCCTTCCTTTAGGGTCTATCGTGGTATGTTGTATTTTGATCCCGCTTCAAATTCAATAATTGTTTCGCTTTATATATATATATATATATAGTACAATGTATGACGGACTTTTTTGATGAACCCCATTTTTTCTGAATGTTTCAGGTTTCAATAGACATATCTAACGATGAATCGGAAAATATCTCACATTGTAACGTTTGATCTCACTTGATAATCAATTTTAACAATTAATTTTATTGTTGCATTTAGTTTTACCATTTTCGACTTTTTCGTTTACTTTATTTTTCTTGAGAATGTAGTACGTTTCTTTTTAATATTGAACAATGTGTTTAGATCAGTTGTGTTTCCTTCTAATCCCTTATTCTATATCCAACACTGACGGCTATTTCACTCAACCAAATAAATCTCCCTTTAGTGCTCATCAAAAAATTCTGTTTATGAAATAAGTTCTATCTTATTGTAGTTTTAATTTATTAACATCATTTTGTTTTCATATTCCCAACCAAAAAAAGACAAACAAACAAATTAGTTGGAATTTAGTTCCTATGCATTATTATTACAGATCATCTGATATATTGTTTCTTATCTTCAATCTTGTCAACACTCAATGCATTAAAATAAAGATGAAATGTAACTTTTTGTCCAGCCATCTTGTTTGTTTTTAATATTCTATATCAATAAATTGTTTTAAGTAGTCAAAGCTCACTTTAATTCGACCTATCTGTATAAAGAAAAACTTGGATACTAAATGTTAAGTCACATGCTTGAACCTCACTCTTTGTAAGTTAGTTTGAGCAGGTGGTCATTATCTGAAACCTTATATCATAAGTTTACTGTATTATCAAGTACTTCATACCTTACTTGATCATTGTAAAGCATTATCAGATAAGTTATTGTTTTGTGTGAATATATCCCAAATTGTATATTTAATCTACATAATTCTAACTTGTATTTGGTGTTCCAGAACCAATCTAGTCAAAACACCTAATGTTTTGCATATTTACGTAATATTGTGGATAAATTAACTATAAGAAAGCATGATTGAATGCAGATGTGTCTTATGCTGTAACATGTTTGTCCGGGATGTCACATATCTTGTCGCAACATAAATAAATTAAACTGAGGGGGATGAAAGGAGAAAGAAATAATAATATATGTAGATTAAAATAAAGAGAATTTTTGCGCACATATCGTTTACAGTTTATTTTTAATTGTGTTTAATTATAAATATTACCACTGCGTGGAGATCTCATCATTGAAGTTTCTCCCAGTCCCTTGGTTATATCAATAATTCACACTATTTTTGGCTCGGATTTTCTCAAAACTGAATTCAAATATTTGCTACGTCATCAGTTTTATCGTTCATGGATGATACTTCAATGGTACATGTAGTTAAATACTTCAAATATCTTTAGATACGTAATAAAACATGGCGTACTTCTGCTCTGTGTACCGGAATTTTGACAGACAGTCGAATAAAATACTTTGATGATCTACGATGAGTTCCGTTAACATCTACGTGCACTATTTTTCTAGTTTTATTTTGCTTTAAATATGTTATGTTTTGTTAGAAACAATGGCGAGACTCTAATTTATGGACGAGCCAATCAGAGGCGTTTTAGAGATTTCATGGTTACGGCGCCAACTTCAGTGCTTAATGCTAACGTACGATCGGTTCACAGGGATAATTGAGCGGCTATAACAAATAAAACGGCGGGACTATAATTTGTGGACGAATCAATCAGGTATAAGATAATAGATCTCGGATTTTAACGCGAAAGCCTTTCATCCATTTGGCTAAATAAATTTCTGGCATTATAGCTGATGTCAGTTCGTGATGAAAACCCCATATATAATTCGTAACTAAGGCAAATTACGACAATCATTGCGAACTGGATAATAAAAGCACCAGTAACACTGGCTGCAGCCAGGTAGTACATTATATACGGATGTTTGGAGAGCGTACTGACTCCTACATAGTCTTGGTGATGTGTATCATGTTGTTATCCACAAGTAGCATTTTGTGCACTCAACAACCGGAGTGCACATAAACAATATTGAAGCTATGTGGTCGAGGCGGAAAGAGTTTTTGAGACTTTATCATGGCTCCAAAGGTCGACTATTCTGTAGCCATAAGGATAATTTTCTCTACTGCATGAATTACGATTTTAGAACCTCTGAACCTCTTTCTAACCCTGACAAGTTTCTGAACCACGTATAAGAAGTGTATCCACTTTATTTCCTTGGTTTTGTATAACATGTTTGCTGATTGGCTAATAGTTCTCAAGGTTACTTAAGATTCGTTCAAAGGTCGTCCATAAATTATAGTCTTGCCGAAACAATATTGACCATATGCAAAGTAAAGTACTATTTCAATGAAATTCAACAATCTCTACAAGCCCATACTGAAAAGTAAATAATGTTACTTCTTGTTTAGTACCAGTAAAGTACTGAATGCTTTGATAAAACTATACTTTAGCAACGAACCAATCAAGTTCCAGGTAGTGATTCTGATTTGTACATAAAAATCGAAATGCAATTACAGTTCGTATTCCTTAATGAGTAGTAGAAGTAGAAGTTGGCTTTATTTAATGCTCAAATATTTGAAATCGACAAATAAATAGTCTACTCTATTACCGTGCAATGAATATAACATGTTATGAAAACTAAGTTACGAAAAACGTTTGCTTCTTCGGATGCTGATTGTGTCTGAAACTTAAGTTATTATGAATTCATTCTTTTTTCTGTTGTTCAAAGTAAGTTTTTAAGTATATCATCTCATGAACCAACTCAGTGAATAATAGACACTTTCGTGTAGTACAAATTACTTGAAGCAGTCAGAAATTTTATTAACATAGTTTTTTTGGTGTATTTTACGTGATTCTGTAGAACTTTCAGGTAGTATGCACATATATATTGTGAAAAATATTTTTTAAAACATGATGGGCCTATCTTTGACCTGTAAAACACTTAAGATAAAAATTGTCCTCTTAAATTGATTTTTTTTTGTAGTAGCAGTCGATCTTCGAATTCAGAAAACAAATTGTAAATCTTTGAAAAATTAATAAACATTGTAAAGCTACCACATACTTTTAAGATTCACTAATTTTGTAGCGATGAATTGTTGATTTTCGAAGCCTTTTCACTCATAGATTAAAACAAGTATTCTGAGGTCATTTTTGGGGTCGCTAAAAGTAATCGTTCTAACAGTATTTTTGATATACAGGCACAATGGTATTGGAATTTGAAACATGTTTAAGAATTCATAAGTTGTCTAGATCTACTATTAGTTACGTAATATTTGTGTTCAATAAACTAGATGATTTTGTATTTCATAGGCAGAAGTATAATTTTCAAGTTACCGAATTTCATGTTTCTAGAAGTATCTGGTTGCTTCATAATATCAACTGCTTAATTTATATGCAATGATCTATTGAACCCTGTGCTATATTGTCGCTCAAAATAATGTACATAAATCTCTCCTTAGTCTGTTTACTTTCGATAATTGTGTTTTGGTTAAAATGAAGTACCATTAAAATGTTATAAGATAAAAACAAACTATACTATCTTCAATGAAGAATTCGATCATTTGTCAGATATCTAGTCTCTAATTACTGGGATGCTTTTAAATATATCTTGATATATTTATGTACAATACAGAAGTGTCAGTACTAAGCAGTGCCAAAATCTGTTATTCAAAATAAGACAATGATATTGTGAAGAGATAGAAAACGAAGAAATCATATCACTCAATGATTAAGAAGAGCATTTATTTAGAGATATTTCTATCAAGATGAACTCCATCCTGTTGTAATATGAATCTCACTTTTGCTCTGTTGGATTGTATGTCCAACCTTTCACAACCAAAATGAGGCAGATTAAGATAAACCAAATAGGCTTTCATTATGTATAGATTTATTTCAACTCTCACGCTGCCACCAGCACTCGGATGTCCAAATATCTTTACTATTCTCAGCTATATTACAAAGGATGTGTAGGCTGCTGTCAATCTCGCAGAAACACTGCGTCTGGGTAATGTCAAGGTGCATGCTTCATTCACAACCTAAAGAACATGGAAACGATTGCGTCACATCCCACTATGTTTACCAATTTAAATGTGTGTGTGGTCACACATACATAGGGAGGAGTAATCGTGATCTCAACATTAGGGTGAGTGAACATGTACCCATGTGGCTTCAGAAACAAATACAATCAAGTGACCCAATAAGAGCAGAGGATAAACATCCATCATCCTCTATCGCTAAACATATAATTGAAACAGGTCACAAGATTGATCTAAATTCAGCTTTTGTAGTGTTGTATAAAAGTGTAAAAGGGCGTATACTAAGGTTTATTTAAGCCTTAGCCATACGAAAATTCAAACCCCCTTTGAGTGTTCACAAACAGTTTGTTCTTACCTTAAACCTACCCTGGTAATATTGACTTATAATCCAGAGTGATTAGGTTTCAAATTGTGTTCACATTATTATTATTATTACTCTCATCATTAACCTTATCTCCTCTTACCCCATTTCCTGTCTAGTTGACCTCTTATTTTTATATATAAATGCTTTTAACAAGTATACGTGTGACCAGATTGTTCGAAATGTATTGCGCTAATATATCATATAGTTCTGATAATCTTCGTCTTCTAATATCATTATCGAAATGTCAAGTATGTAATGTTCACTTTGTACAATGCTACGTGTTAATTACAATGAACAATTCTCAGCTATCCTTCGCAAAATTAATAAGTACAATTTGAGTGGCTCATTCCATCGCAGAAGAATAATGTTAATTAGATCTTTTCCCGGATAATTTATCCGCAACATGTACTTTCTTAACTGCTTCCCGAATGTCATCGGTGGCAGAACCGAACAGGACTGGTGATATTGAGTAACTGTCTAATCTCAATGCTAGACTGAAGCAATGGAGAGTGGTAGTTACATGTCTTTTCTCTATATGATATGTTTTTTTCACAAAATGTTAATCAACTTCTCAGAAATACTCCAACAGACTCCTATCCAACAAAGGGATGGAGGCCCTGGTATCAAGGAATAGTAATTTTATCTTGGAATGATTACATTACTTACTTACGCCTGTTACTCCTCGTGAAGGAGCATAGGCCGCTCACCAGCGTTCTCCATCCAACCCTGTCCTGGGCAATCCTTTCTAGCTCCGTCCAGTTGCAATTCATCGTTTTCATATCTGCTTCTATTATCCGACGCAATGTGTTCTTTGGCCTTCCTCTTTTTCGCTTCCCTTCAGGATTCCAAGTTAGGGCTTGCCTCGTGATGCAGTTTGACGATTTGCGTAATGTATGTCCTATCCATTTCCATCGTCTTTTCCTAATTTCTTCTTCAGCTGGAAGTTGGTTTGTTCTCTCCCATAGAAGGGTGTTGCTGATGGTATCCGGCCAATGGATGTTGAGTATCTTGCGAAGACAGCTATTTATAAATACTTGTACTTTCTTGATTGTGGTTGTTGTAGTTCTCCAAGTTTCAGCTCCATACAGTAGAACTGCCTTGACGTTGGTATTGAAGATTCTCACTTTGATATTGGTTGAAAGTTGTTTTGAGTTCCATATGTTCTTCAATTGTAGGAATGCGACCCTAGCTTTGCCAGTCCTCGCCTTTACGTCTGCATCGGATCCTCCTTGTTCATCGATGATGCTTCCTAGGTATGTTAAGGACTCTACATCTTCTAGAGTTTCGCCATCAAGAGTGATTGGATTGCTGTTTTCCTCTTTGAATTTGCGGACCTTGGTTTTTCCTTTGTGTATGCTGAGGCCTACTGATGCAGAGACTGCTGCTACACTGGCTGTCTTCATCTGCATCTGTTCGTGTGTACGTGATAGGAGGGCTAGGTCATCTGCGAAGTCCAAATCGTCTAATTGATTCTGAGCTGTCCATTGTATTCCGTGTTTTCCTTCAGATGTTGAGGTCTTCATAATCCAGTCGACCACCAGGAGAAAAAG